CCGTGGCAGGGCGGCGTGACGGCCGAGGACGTGCTCCTGCGCTTCTCCCGCGAGGAGTGGGCGCTGCTCGACGACGCCCAGCGGCGCCTGTACCGCGACGTGACGCTGGAGAACCTGGCGCTGCTGTCCTCGCTGGGTGAGGCCCGCCCCCCGCCGTCCAGGCAGCCCCGCGGGGCAGGGTGCGCGCCCCTCCCGGAGCCCCGCAGCGGCGCCCGGGCCCTGGGCGGCTTTGCTCGCGTCCCTCACCCGAGCCGCAGCGCGAGTCTGCGCCTGGCCCCCGCCGGCTCCCCGTCGGGGGTCTTCTCCAACGCCCCCCTTGCTCTGTGGCGTTCCCACCTGTGTCTGGCGCACCCCCACCGGTGCCACAGTGTGTCATGGTGGGCGTGCCGGCGTGCGAGCATGCTTGGAGCAGCCTGCCACGGCCGGCGCCGCACAGTGACCTCAGGTGGCCTCATCTGCGAGGACCCAGAGCCGCGCTCCTGACCGCGTTTCTGGTGCCGGCGGAGGCCGCCTGCCACGTGCCCAGCGCCGGCCTGGCCTTCCGCTTCGGAACCGGCCTCTGGCGCCCATTGTTACTTTTCCTTTTCCGTTTTGCTCAATAGTGAAACAAGCGCAGCCCCCGCAGGCTCTTAGACCCTGACACGTGCCCTTCAGGCTTGCCCCGGCGGCCTCCTCCTGTGGGTGCTTCATCCCGTCCGGTGCCCGCTCAGCAGCCCGCCTGTCCTTGTCCCTCCCTCGGGCACGCTGGGCTGCTTCCCGGGCCTGCCCGCGGCGGCTGAGGCGCGGTGATGTGCGGCCGCCGCGGGCTCACGTCCCGTTGCGTTCTTGACCGCTTCTCCCAAGCCGGCCTGCCGGCTCCCCGGTAATTGGACTCTGAACGTTTTGAGGAAGAATTTCTCATGGAGACTCTGGCAATTCGCACTCCTGCAGCCTTGTGCAGGGGCTTTTCCCTCACATGCTCACCAACACGGAAAACCTTTGTCATGAAGTTCATCACCGTAGTGGGCGCCCTCCTTGGCTTCCGCTTCCGTTTTCCTGGCGTGAGCAAGGGCGTTTTCAGTGTCTGTTGGCCCCTGACCAGCTGCGGGGTTACAGGCCCGTCTCCCGGACTGTAGCTTGCCTTCGCATTTTACTGATTTTCGTGAGAAGCTTTTTGTTCTGGGCCAGTTCTAGGCGTTTGCTGTTGCCTTGGTTACACCCAAAAACGTGCCCATTGGGTGGGTCTCTTATTCAAGACTTTTCCTGTTTGTGAGCCTCACACCTGCCGTTCATCTTCCGCCTTCACTTTTGTGAGCGGTGTTGGGGTCCAGAGTGATTCTTCCACGTGGATGACTTTGCGGCCACCCCTCGCTGGAGACCGCCCGCCCACCTTTGTCCCTGGAGGCCTTTCAGAGTGCCCTTGGCTGGCGCTGCCGTGTCTGTGTTCGCTGCTTTGTCCCGTTGGCTCCGAGTGTCTGCGTTGTGTCGGTGCCATGCTGCTGCGGTCACCGTAGCGGTGACGCTGCCAGCTTTGGTCTTGACAAAGATTGCTTGGGAGGTTTCCGGACAGTTGTGGTGACTGCAGACTGTCGGGCCTCCTGTTCTGTTCTCCCCACTTGATGAAGTCCACTGATGATGCTTTCTTGGGTTTTTCTTTTTGTACAGTACATTCTTCAACTCAGGAATTCCCGTCTTTTTTTTTTCATTCTGTCTTTAATCTACTCATTTTGTTTCTGTAGTTTCCTGATTTTTGTGTGTGTTCTGTCTGTTTTGTAGTATATTACTGAACTTCCTCAAAACAGTTATTTTGCACTGTTTTTCCAACAGTTCCCAGGTCTCATTTCTTGGGGTGAAGTATGAGACAATCACTGCGTTCCTTTGTTGGTGCTGTTTACTTGTTTACTGCTCTCAGCTCTGTGGATGTGGTGGAGCAGTTACCTCTTTCAGTCTTTATGGACCAGTTTTGTTGATGGAAAAGCTTCTCTTCCCTGTGGGGCTTGATGCTGCCTTGGTGTGTGGCTTCCTGACCGTGGCTCTCCAGCTGGGGTCAGACCAGGGGACACTGTAGGGGCCCTCAAGGCTCGGGGAGAGTGTGGTGTCATTGTTGGCAGGGGCTGATGACAACACTCTGGGCTCCTGTTGGGACTGCACTGGTGTTTGTCGCACGGGTGCCAGGGAGCAGCCACAGGAAGGAGGCCGGGGCGTGGTACTGGTGGCCTGAGAGTGTCTTAAGCTTTAGGCACGGGATGGTCCAAGGCCTTGATGCTTTGCCTGTTTGTGATAACGGTTTGCCCTGAAGAAAAGAACCTGCTGCAAAACTAAGCCGGCCTTTCAGTGAATGAAAGGTGGAGTCTTAGATCCTCCCTTTCTGCTTCGTGTTTCCGCCTCTGCAGCCCTGGGGACCCCGGAATCCCAGCCAGAGCCCATCTCCCTGATCTAGGAAAGCATCTCGCAGGCGTGATGCACGCTTGTGATGGTATTTCCTGTGCCCTACAAAGTCACGCGGCCTTCACGAGAGTTTCTTTGTGTTCAGGTTGCTGCTGTGGCACAGAGGCTGCGGCGCCCACCTTGGAGCAGTGCGTTTCTACAGGCGAGTCTCAGCCCCACTCTCCCAAGGCGGTGCCTCCTTCCCAGAAGACCCACCCCTGCGAGATATGTGGCCCGGTGTTGAGACGCCTTTCCCACTTGACTGAGGAGGGGGGAACACAGCACAGCTTGAAGCTGTTGAGGTGTGGGGCTGGTACGGGACACTTCCCTTTCAGGCCCGGTCTCCAGAAGCACCACACACAGCCCATGGGAGAGGATCCCCTCAGAAGCCATGTGGAGAGGGCCTGGCTTGTGAAGAGCTGCAGCACCAGCGAGTCGCGGGAGCCCGTTACCTGCGGGGAGGTTGGGAGTGGCTCCTGGGCCTCTGTAGGGCATCTGCAGCAACAGGCCGCTCCCGCTAGGCCAGATGGCACCTCTGAGTGTGGGGTGGCGGTCCAAGTCAAGACTGCTCACAACATCTGGCGACTGCACACACCAGCTCTCATTCCCACACACACACTCACTCCAGATCAGGGTGTCCACGCGGGAAAACAGTATTTTGTGTGCCGTGACTGCGGGGAGACGTTCAGACGTGAGGTCTCACTTCTCATTCACCAGAGAGTCCACACTCGTGAAAGGTTCCGTGTGCTTGCTGAATGTGACAGGTCTTTTAAGCAAACCACAGCCCTTCGTCACCATCAAAGCACTCGCACAGTGAGAAGGCGCCGCAGGTGCGGCCAGTGTGGGAGGTCTGTTAACTGGAAGTTTGTCTTTATCAGTCCTTGGAGAAGTCAGGCTGGAGCAAATTTTTTGTGCAGTGAATGTGCACGAGCTGTTGGCCGCAAATCCACGCTTATCCTGCAGCGCACAGCTCGTGACGGGGGACGGTGTTATGGGTGCACACAGTGTGGAGCTTCATTCAGACAAAAATTTTACTTGTTTCTACACTGGGGAATTCACGGCAGGAAAAGACCTTACAAGTGCAGTACATGCAGCAAAGCATTTGCCAATAAGTCAGTACTTACTCTGCACCAGAGAGTGCACCGAGGAGAAAGGCCCTTTAGGTGCAGCGCGTGTGGGACATCGTTTACACACAGCTCAGTACTCATTCTCCACCAGAGGGTTCATGCGGCAGAAAGGCCTTACGCGTGCAGTGAGTGCGGGAAGTCCTTCGGCCGTCAGTCTTCCCTCGTGCAGCATCAGGTCACTCGTTGTAGGAAAAGGTCTGCTGAGTGCACTGACTGTGGAACATCTTTAAAGTCCGTCTCCAGCCTCCATTATCATAAAAGAATTGCCACAGGAGAAAGGCCTGATAAGTGCAGTGAGTGTGAGAAATCCTTCAGCGATGGCTCCCAGCTCAGTCAGCACCCCAGAGCTCACGCTGTAGAGAAGCTCGAGTGCACTGACTGTGGGAAATTTCTTAGCCGCAAATCTTTCCTTTCCCACCAGAGACTTCATTCTGGAGAAAGGACATACGAGTGCAGCGAATGTAGGAAATCTTTTACCTGCAGCTCCACTCTCCTTACTCATCAGAGAATTCACACGGGAGAAAGGCCTTACAAGTGTAGCGAGTGTGGGAAATGTTTTACTCAGAGCTCATCCCTCACGGAGCACTGGCGAATTCACACGGGAGAAAGGCCATTTGCGTGTAGTGAATGTGGAAAGTCTTACACCCAGAGATCGACACTCAACCGACACGTGCGAGTTCACACAGGAGAAAGGCCTTACTGTTGCAGTGAGTGTGGGAAGGCCTTCACCAGAAGAAATGAACTCATCATCCACCACAGAGTCCACACGGGGGAAAGGCCATATGAGTGCAGACAGTGTGGGAAATCTTTTACCTCTAGCTCTAAACTTCGTTATCATCAGAGAGTTCACACGGGAGAAAGGCCTTATGACTGTGCTGAATGTGGGAGGTCATTTAAACGAGGGGGCCATCTTCTGACACACCAGAGAGTGCACACGGGGGAAAGGCCGTATGAGTGCAGTGAGTGTGGGAAATCTTTTGCCTCTAGCTCCAAACTTCGTGACCACCAGAGAGTTCACACAGGAGAAAAACCTTATGACTGTGGTGAATGTGGGAAATCCTTTAGGGATAAATCCCAATTCAATAAACACCAGACACATCACACTAGAGAAAGGCCTTATGATTGTACTGAGTGTGGAAAACTCTTTAGCCATAAATATTCCCTTTCGCAACACCAGAAACTTCATACTGGAGAAATGTCTTATGAGTGTAGTGAATGTGGGAAATCTTTCACACGTAGCTCCGGACTCCTGTATCACCAGAGAATTCATACAGGAGAAAGACCTTATGGCTGCAGTGAATGTGGGAAATTCTTTAGGGATAGTTCTTCATTTTATAAACACCAAAGAGTTCACACAGGAGAAAGGCCCTATGGTTGTACTCAATGTGGAAAATCATTTAGCGATAAATCTTCCCTTTCTAAACACCAGAGACTTCACACTGGAGACAGGTTTTATAAGTGTGGTGAATGTGGGAAGTCTTTTACTTGTAGCTCCGGGCTCCACGCTCATCAGAGAGTTCACACAGGAGAAAGGCCCTTTGAGTGTGGTGAATGTGGGAAGACTTACACCCAGAGGTCAACATTCATTCGACACAAGAGAATTCACACTGGAGAAAGGCCTTATAAGTGTGGTGAATGTGGGAAGTCTTTTATCTGTAGCTCTGGGCTCCACTCTCATGAGAGAGTTCACACGGGAGAAAGGCCCTTTGAGTGTGGTGAATGCGGGAAGACTTACACCCATAGATCAGCCCTCATTCGACACTGGAGAGTTCACACGAGAGAAAGGCCTTATAAGTGTGATGTGTGTGGGAAAACTTTTAGCCAAAGTTCTGCACTTCGTGTACACGAGAACTCACACTAGAGAAGGTGGCTGCACCCTGTCAGATAGCACATGCAGACGTAGGACGTCTGTGGCAGAAGTTTTACACCCCATCAGTGTCAGAGACATCACAGCCTCCCGCGCCACCCCCGGTTCATCCCATCGCCCTGGGAGGGGCCTGTGGGGGCCTGTAGCTGATGTCCATAGAACGAGGAGCTGCTAGGTTCCCGCTCCATCCATTAAGGGTGGATCTGAGCAGTGTGAAGCTAGGAAAGACTGGGGGAAAGGACTTGGGGCAGAGGCAAGATGACCAGGAGGAGCCCTGGAGCAGAGAGATATGAAGAAACCTTGCTGGATGGCTGGCCTTGGGCTTGCACCGGCAACTTGGGAAACATGGAAGGAGACACTTGGGAGAGAGAGAGAGACGTGGCTGAGAGACCCGTGGGGAGGTGACAGTGGCGGCCTTTATCTTGGGTATTTTGTTCCTTTCCTTCCAGACTCACCTGTCCTGTCCCTCTTCTGTAGGCCCCACCAGAAGGTGCCTTAGACATGTGGCAAGAGCTCAGGCCTCAGTGGCCTTTCCCTGGGCCAAGCCTGTTTGGCGGGGCATTTACCCACGAAGGGAGGGGCAACTTGGGATGCTTCATGGGAAGCTGCTGTAACTTGTTTCCCTTCTGTTCATTGCACACTGTATGAGGCTTTTCTAGTAAAGACTTCATGCACTGAGAGTATGTTTGTCTTGATGCGGCAGAGCAGGTGGGTGTGGGAAACCCACATACCCTTCATTCTGCCCCTAGACAGCACCCAGCCCCGGGCCAGCCCAGACAGGAAGGGGCTGGCAGGGCCACAGCACTGCCCAGACCACAGTGCCCACTGCCCAAGGTTGTTCCAAGGCCTCCAGGAGGGTCCCTCCACCCCAACCTCCTAAAGAGGCCGCATGCAGATGTCTGGGTGCTGTGCCCCAGCCCCAAGGGAACCTGGAGACAGGGGCATTAGCCTGTGAAGCCCAGAAGCCCTCGGATGCTTCCGTGGACAGCAGACCCAAGCAGGTATTATCCCAGCGTGGCGCAGCCCCAGTGGATGCTGCGGAACAACCAGTGACGTGACTATACTTAGAAATCTCTATTTCGCTAAGTTTCAAAGTCAAAAGGAAACCTCCTTACAGGCCTTTCCCCCTTATGAAGCCGTCTGCAGCTCTGCCCACCCCTGACTGCAGGCGTCTCTCGCTGTCCCCTAATCTGACTTTTAGAACTGTAAGAAAAATCAGAGTGGAGCCCACGGGGCCTGAGAATGCTGCCAAGAAGGGGCCCCACACCCGCCCGCCCCCTCTGCCCCAGCCCCTCTAGCAGGACAGAGTCTGGAACTGCTGCCAGCGTCGGCCCAGTCGCTGCCGCCTCCGGGAAGAGGAGACGGGCCCAGGACGGCGGCGGGAAACGCCGGCTTGGAAACGCTGCCAGATCATCGAGGCCACTGCCCCTGAGGGGTCATTTGGGGCCTACAGGAGAGGGACAGGACAGGTGAGTCTGGAAGGAAAGAGTGTCCCCAGACACTCAGGAAGTCGGGTTTTCTGTCTTGCAGTGAAGTCAGAGGGACCTAGGGCAGCTGGGGCGCAGAACGCAGCGAGTGCAGACAGCGCCCTCGGCTGGCCGCGCGCGGCGCCACAGCCGCAGCGAGCTGGCCGTCCTGCAGCCCTTCCCAGTAAGCGCAGTCCCTGAGCAGACGCTGCCTGGAGCATCACGGAAGGCAAGGGTCACAGCGTCACACAGACCCCCACTCCCGGGAAACAGGGCTCTAACTGGAGTGAAGTCCTAACAGCCCCCCGTTCTGCTCAGTGCAGTACCCGCGAGAGGAAGGTCCCTACCTCAGGCGGGCGGGGAGCCGCCCTTTACCCTGTAACTGCAGAAATCCCCGAAATCACAGAGTCCGGGCCTGGTGGTGCTCAGAAAGGGGCCACTCGGGTCCAGCCTCCACTCCAGACCCTTTAATAAACTCGATTTTGCTCACCGCCGCCTTTGGCCAACAGGAACAAGTCTCGCTTTATTTTATCGCTTATGTCCCGCGCGCTCTACCCTGCCCTCGCGCAGGGATTCTCGGGATTAAGCAAGTCCATCTCCTCAGTTGTCCATCAGCTGGCCACCGTTCCCTCCGCACCCGGCCGGCACTGCCTGCGTCCCCTTTGCCGTGGCCACAGGTCCTGAGTCCTAGGGGCTGTACATGGCGTTGTCCAGCGCGTCATCGCTGGCTATCTTCACCTCTTTCTTTCTCTTGTTTTCTATATATTTTTTCCTTTTCGATCTAATAACTTAAAATGTGTACATAATGTTACTGAGATACTAATGAAATTAGAAATGGAGAAAGAAGACGGGGAAGTGTGGGGAAATAATTTTCAGGATATAATGGTGTTACTTATCAGATAAGGATGGTAAAAACTGAATTTTAAAGTTCCCCACTGTATTCAAATGGGATAAAGCCCCAGTGGTCAAAAAAAGAATGTAGAGAAGTTAGAAACCAACATAGAAGACCGTGCAGAGTCTCCTGGCGGGTATCGAGGGCCATCTCTCTGCCCGTGGTAAGCTCTCTTCTGCACTTGACCATTCAGCCTCTTTCTGACTGTCCATGTCTGGGGCTCAGAGGAGACTGCTGATTCAGGCGTTGACTGAAACAAGCACACTACATATGTGTGCTCTAGAATTTTTGAATGGGTATCCAAGAATCTCAGCTCATACCAGAGGGGGCTTCAACACGCACCTACAGCTCCCCAAGCATTTGCAGGTGTGGTCAGCAGGTGGCAGTAACCCCCAACGCCGCATTAGACGGAGGCAGCCAGTGGGGGTGGGACACCTGCCTGCCCGTGTGCCAACTGTGAACAGTATGTTAGCTGACAAGTATGTTTATGGGGAATGTCTGCGAAGCGTGTGTTGGCCAAACTTAGTTTTCCAGCTTTGCATCTTCCCTGCAAAAGGAACCAAGCGATGAGCCAGGATTTGCCACTCGGTGTAACTTCATGAGAAGTGCCTCCCTGGGGCGCAGGGTGAGTCTCGGCACTATGGAGCTATCACAGCCACTGCGGCCTGAGCCACCCCGGCCAGGGGGTGACGCAGGGCGCGCAGCAGAGCCCTCCTGCCTCCCGCCACCCCCTCAGCACTGGGCTTCAGGGGATCCGCTTTTCTGCTCCCCGCTCTCTGGGGCGTCCTCTCACCCTGCACCTCTGGCCTGCACCCCAGCTCCTGTACACATGAATTTTAAAAAGTTTTTTAAAAGCTACTTTTTTGTAGGTGTGCCCAAAAACATTTTTCTTCTTACGCCAAACTCCATCAACTGCCACTTAGGTTTTTTTTTGGCCTTTGAAAACGGAACAGTTGTGTCCAACTCTAATACTGTACACACCTGGAGCTTATAGGTTATAAACTGATGTTAGTTTAAAGTTTTTAATAGAAAGCCATGATTCCCAGCTCCACCTTCGTGGGACTTTGGATCTAACGAGAGAAACTAGTCCGGGCTCTACCTGAATGGATGAAATTCTCCAGTTCCTTCTCGTTCTCTGGCAGCAGGTAGGTCGACTCGTCCTGGCTGTCCTCCTCAGAGTACACCTCTTCGTCCTCCAGTAATGGTATCCTGATGTTCTTATAAAGCAATGCCAGTTGCTGTCTTTCCTCAGCTTGTGACAGTCGACTGCAGGATGATAGAGCGCTGCTTTCACCATGAGTCATGACTTAACAGTCACATGACTATCTAAAATGGGGTCACTAGTTGGGGGGACACAAATAGGGAAGCACAAATAGACTTCTCAGCCCAAATAATCACACACCTCAAATGTATGCTGATGGCAGAGAGAGAGAATGCTGCGAATGGATTGGTGCCAAAACCAGGGTTGAGTGAGGCACCGGCACTGAATATAAAACCTGAGTTAGTGACCTAAAACTCCAAATCCAGTAACGAGCTTTTTTAAAAATGATTGATGGGCCCTCCCTGGTGGCGCAGCGGGTTACAGCACAGCACTGAGAAGCTAAAGCCGCTTCCGCATGAGTTCGATCCCCGCCTGCCCCGGAGGTGACCACAGGGCGCGGCAGACCTCTCCTGACCCACCCGCTGCTCCCCTCAGCAGTGTACTTCATCGATCTACCTGTTCTGTTCCCCACTCTGTCTCGGGTGAAGCCTCTCACCGCCCCTGAGCCTCTGGCCTGTACCCCAGTTCTGTATGCACAAATAAATCTTTAAAAAAAAAAATGATTGATGGATGCATGCAAGAGCTGGGGGTGCAGGAGGTGAGAGGACTCCCCAGGGACAGAGTGGGGAGCAACAGGCGGATCCACTGAGCCCTGCTGAGGGGCAGTGGGGAGACAGGAGCCGCACAGGCTCAATCCCCAGCCAGGGAGGTGACCCCAGGGCCCAGTGGGCCCCTCCTGTCTCCCCATTCCCCCCCTCAGCAGTGGATCTGCCTGTTCTGCTCCCCACTTTGGTGAATCCTCACCCTCGCACCTCTGGCCTGTAACCTAATTCATGTATGCGTAAATAAATAACTTACAAAAAAACAATGTCGAGAGAGAAAAACAAGCAAAGGAATTGACAAAACTAAATCAAAACAAACTTGAAAAGTGACTGCAGGGCGGAGGGGAGGAGGGCCGGGCAGGGGCCCCGTGTCCGAGACAGCGGGCGTTGGTGGTGGGGTGGGGTGCCCCGCTTGCCTCCGCGACGCGGACCTGCTCCCTAATCACGTACCGGTTGTAGGCCAACGTCATCCCATGAAACAAAAGAAAAATCAACTTCCAGTAACCTTTAAGAAATCTTTTTCTATGCTAAAGAAATAAACTGAAATCAGTTGCAGAAGTTGAGTTAGTTAAATGAGCTCCACGCTAGGTGACCCCAGAACCAAACATCTGGGTTTACACGGCTCATTAGCAAAATGTCTGCATTTTACCTTTCATCCCACTGTGCTTTATTTTGACATACTCGAGGGTGATCCGAAAATGGCTGTGTTAAAAACATCCCAAACACTAGAGTCCTCCTGTTCACACCCAGTTCTCACAGAGCAAATAATTTAGTGCTTCCTCAAGCTGTTTCGACTGACAGAACCCTGGGGTGGGTCCTGGAGCAGAACTCCGCCAGGGGCTCCTCTCAGGGACCAGCGTGTCCCAGCCTGGCCCGCTGTGGTCTGAGGCCCATCTGGAGACAATCATGCCACTCGAAAGAGCGTGACCACAAACTGCAGCGAACAAGATGGAGCTTCTTCCACACGCTCCTTCCACCACAGACGGCCTACGCATAACAATCTCTAATGAAAACGAGAGTCATCACTTGGGACGCGAGGCAGGTTCGCTGGAGAACACGTGGGGGGACGCCAGCGCCTGGCAGCCGTGTCTGCCTCTGAGGCTTGAAAGTTACCATTTACCTCACATGTCACGCTTTCTGGTATTTCATGTTCCACTAAGCTATATCCTCTACTGTTCTGTTGTTTTTTCACTTATGTCATGACCCGGCATGATATGATCCATGTTCTAAAAAGCACTGGTCTGAAAATTCACGAGCAAAATAATTTAGTGACCGTTAGGACTGTCATTTTCACCATTGAACGATACCCCGGTTGATGTTCAATCTACTTACAGAAGGTTCACTTACTACATCACAAAGGAAACGATGAGCCCGGCCATCAGGGCGACGCTGAAGACCACACAGGCGACGAAAATCACTTGAACCAGACCAGGTCTGTGTGGAATCAGTGCTACAAATGGAAAGCAAAGGAGTCAAGCTCTGTCAGCTGTTGCTCTCAGTGAACAGCCTCGTTTATCCTCAAGGGGAATGGAGCTCAGGAACACCCTAAAACAGGCACAACTCGAGAGAGCAAGGAAACTCGGCCGCACCACCTAGTAATCCCTCATCACTCGTCTCCTGCTCTGGGACGCAGCCCCTCCGGACCACAGGCAGGGCCTGCCGGCTGCACTGGCTTGCCACCTGGAGCCCTGAGGCCCAGGAGTGTGACCCATCCACGCACCTTCACGCCAGGACTCCCTGTGCAGACTCTGGCCATGCCCCATGAAAACGTTGCCATTACGGAGGGCAGGCCGCGCCGGGACAGACTTCTTGCTACCTTAAATCAAGAAAAAAACAGTAGTGTTGTTTGTGAAGACAGAACAGGACCGCCTGCCAGAGGGGACGGTGGGGTGGGAAAGGGGAGGGAGGCAGGCCAGCAGACAGTGGAGCCGGCCTGTGGGGTGGGGACGACGCTTCCTATACGGTGTTGTAAGGCAACATGACCTCGATGGCAAAAACACAATTACAAAACAGAGCAGCATGCATGAGCCCCTCCCTCATGCCTGGGGGACGCGCTCGCAGCTGAACTTGGGCTCGGTGGAAGGGTGCGTGTGAGTGGGGCGTCAGTCGCCTCTGTAATTCTGCTTTTCTGTTTGTTCCCAAATTTTCATAATGTAATACTGAGAGAAAGGACGTGGGCGACAGTCTTGGCACACGAGCTGTAAACCGGCTGCGGGGATCGCGGAGAGCACGGCCAAGGCTCGGGAGAAGGCCGGAAGGCCCTCGAAGCTGCTTAAGGCCCTATGCTCCTGTGTGTGAAGGAGAAGAGGGCAGCTCTCGGAGGGCCTGAGGGCTGGTCTTGGCTTTCCACAGGGGACCTCGCTTACTGCAGGCCTGGCCAGGCGGGCCTGTCACAGTCATCCTTCCCCTCCACAAACAAGGGTCACTCAGGGTCCTAAGGCGTGCCTGGTCCTGGCAGGTCTTGCTGTCACGCCAGCGGGGTAACCCTCACAGCCCACTGGGACACAGTCGCCACTGTCCCCACGGACATCTGTCTCTGAGTGGCCGGGGCTCAGGACGCACAGCACAGGACACAGGGTGAGTGAGTCACATAGCAGGTCCCCAGCCCTAGACGGGGGGTCAGGGGGGTGTCAATGGTGGGACAGCCGCCCAGAGCAGCAAGCTCACAGGACAGGCCTCTTGTCCAGACCACACCTGCCCGACATGCATGTCTGTTCCTGACAAATAGGAGCAAAGCACGTTGGGGCAGTGGACCTGGGAGCCTGCCTGGCATAACAACCCACCTCTGGGTCCTGGGAAAGTGTCTTGGTTCCAAAGGATCCTGGTCTCCGAGGGGCGCGGAGCATGGGTGCTGCTCTCTTCAGAGGATTGCTGGGCCTGGGTGGTGGACTCCTCGGAGGAGAGCTGGGCCTGGGTGGTGGACTCCACAGAGGAGAGCTGGGCCTGGGTGGTGGACTCCACGGAGGAGAGCTGGGCCTGGGAGCTGGAATCTGTGGAGGAGAACTGGGCCTCGGTGCTGGACTCTGTGGAAGAGAGCTGGGGCTCGGTGCTGGACTCTGTGGAGGAGAGCTGGGCCTGGGTGGTAGACTCAGTGGAGGAGAGCTGGGCCTGGGTGGTAGACTCAGTGGAGGAGAGCTGGTCCTGGGTGGTAGTCTCCATGGAGGAGAACTGGTCCTGAGTGGTGGACTCCAGGGAGGAGAGCTGTTCCTGGGTGGTCTCCAGGGAGGAGAGCTGGTCCTGGGTGGTCTCCCTGGAGTGGTGATGGGTGTTTATGGGCAACAGAGGCTGCTTCTGGCCTTAAAAGGAAACGGGCAGCAATGAGAGGTAACCGCCCCTTTTTACTCCCCCAAGCAAGTGGACACTCACAGTTGATCTCCCCACAAAGCCAGTGACCTGTGTTCTACACGCACCTGCCTTGAGCAAGCAAAGGCAGAAGGGACTCTCCGTCAGGAGCAAGAGCAAGAGGGGGAGTATTGGTGTGGCCTGGTCCCTCGCAGCACGGCGGGCGGCCGCCATGGGGCTGAAAGCAAAGTCAGCCCCGTGGTACCAGGTCTCGAGAGCCAAGGGGCTCTGCTCCTGACAGAATGTTGGGGGTGCTGACTTGGGGCCCCAGTGTGAGGTCAGTCACTGGCCTCCAGAGTTCCGCCCTGGAACTCACTCAACTGTGGACCAGCATGCCCCACAGGCGCTGTCTTTGGGCTGGCTCAGGGAGATTCCCAACAACTACTGCCTGGCCTGGTCACCTTCATAGGTGCTATGAATACCTGAGTCTTCCTCGACTTGGTTCTTGACAAGGTTCTTCTATTCCATGTGCCCAGCCCAGCCAGAGATTCACTGCAGGCCAACAAGATCCCACTGTGGAGGTAGAAAAGTCTTAAAAAAGGAAAACCACACAAATAGACAAAACAGAACACCACTGAGGGTTAATGCCCAGCGGTGTAGACTATCAGGTTCATCTGAAATAGGGGCAGACAGGACAACAGGGCAGGAAGATGGGTCTGTCTGGGAGTCTCCCTGCACACATAATTGCAAGTAGCCCTGGGCTCCAGGAATAGCCACCTTAGGGTCTAGTTCACAAACAGGGAGACAAAGTTTACTGCGGCCACACGTGGTGGCCGCCTCACCTAGATGGCGCCAGTCATGGTCACTGTTGGTCACCAGGAGTGTGGACAGAGCAGGCAGGTGTGATGGTCACTGCTGGTCCCCAAGAGGCGGCATCAGGACACCCAGTGTCCACAGCTCCCCATGAGAGGCTGGATGATACCAACAGCAGCTCTTTAAGCCAACCTTACTGGGGTGGGGGAGAGGCTGAGGCCGGGGGCTGCCAAGGCCTCCCCTGGCTGCCAAGGCTTCAGCTCCTCACCCCCCAGCTGGCTGGCCATAGGACAGCCAGAACCCTTTCCATTTCTCTAGGGGGCACAGTTGTCTGCTCTCAGGCTAAGACCTGACTTATATAGTTTCTCAGGGAGCCCCTCCCACACATCTGATTGGCCCACTTTTCAATCCTGTGGCTGATTGGACCATTTATCACCAATCATCTCATAGCACACACATGATTGGCCCATTCCACAATCCAGGAAGTTCACAGTGGTAATAAAAGGCTCTGAAGCGGCTGCCACAACAGGCTGGTGGTAAAGCCCAGGGACAGACCCATCTGTTCCTGCCTGCTGGCACGCCCCCACCCCCACCCCCTGGCAACACTTCCACCAGACTCCCCTAAACCCAGAGATGCCTGACCTGCCCTCTTGGCCCTTGCCAACAAAACCGGGTCCCTGGCTGTGCATGGGGCTCCAGGCACTTTGCTATGCCTAGGACCCTGCCTACGTGTCACCACTGAAGTTTGCCTCTGGTGCTAAGTCAAGCCATCCTGACACCTCCACCGACTCCACAAACCGGGATCACCCACCTGGCCAGCTGTGACCACGCACACCACACATACCAGCTGACCGTCCTGTACTGAATGGTGACCAGTGTGCACCTGACTATTCAGCGGGGCGACTGCTGCCCACGGTGGCCATCCTCATGTGTGCCTGACCTTCCGGGGAAGCCTCAGTTTCCTGTCCAGTGCTACACCGGCCACAGCCATGAGGTTCCTGTGCCTCCTGTGGCCGCAGCTGCCTGACCACACCCAGCAGGGAAGGGTGCACCGCCTCAGGCATGGTAACCAAAAAGCGGCACCAACCAAGTGTCCACATGGGTGGACTGGACCTAGTGGAGCGTCCACAGCAGACAGTGCTATTCATGTCTGAAGGGGGCCGGGCCCGTGACCCAGGAAACATGCTGCCTGCAGGAAGCAGAAGCCAGGGCCACACAGCTGTCCATTTACACGATTGGCCAAGGCGGGCCAGCACCAGATCTCTGGGGCAGGGCCTGGCAGCAGGCGGAGGCGGGGTGGAGGAGGCCCGGCTGCACGCTGACCCCTGAGCAGGCCGTTGCGCTGCCCTGCAACGCCCAACAGAGCAGCTGTGTCTCAGGCAGGTTCCCCGAGTCTTGGGAGGGAGGTTCGCAGCAGCGCCCAAACTCCCCTGACCCCAGCATCCTCCATGGCAACACCCTGCGGGAGAGACGCGTTTGTTACAAGGGAGGCCCCAACCAGCCATCAGGGCTGCTTCTGGGCCTCGGGCTCCCATTCCAGAACGCCGTGACGCTGGACTAGAGCGGTGGGAACGAGCACGCAGGAGCCCCGCGGGAACGCGGTTGCGTGGCGGAAGGTCGCTCAGCACCCCACGTCCTGAGGTCGCCCCCCGGTCGAAGGAAGGGGGTCCCCGGCACAGGAGCCCTGAATGCTCAGGAAGGGCGGTTTCGGCTCCGGGGGCTGTTTCCCAGCGGCCGCTCCTCGTCGCTGCTCCGAATTCGGCCGTTTCGTGGGTGGAGAGCTGCTGGTTTTGTCCCTCCAGGGCAGCGATGAGTCCCGGGGCGCGGGGAGGCCAGCGCCACCCGGGCTCCTCGCAGGCTGCTCCGCCGTCGCGGGCGCCCCGCTTCCTCCTTCCCGGTGGCGCAAGGTGAGACCCCGCGTCTCGACGGGCGACGGGCGGCGCGATCGCCGGTCGGGGTAGGCGGCGCTGTCTCCTCCCCCCGCGCAACCGGCTCAGGTCGCCGCAGCGGGCCCGGCGCCTCTCACGGCCACACTAAGCTTTCGGCGTTGGCAAAACGGGCCCCGCCGCTGACG